GAGGGGGAGGAGGAGGAGGGGGAGGAGGAGGAGGGGGAGAAGGAGGAGTCATTGCTGGTTGGGGAGACAGCGGGTTTTGTTCTGGACCTGGTGCTTTCCAGAAAGCCAGGCCAAGACACTTTACCCAAACCCTGATTAGTTTTCCAGATGTCAGCCCGCTCGGGCCAGGGCTGTCTGTGGGCCCATCTGTCCACCATGACCATGTGTGAATTGGAGGGTTTTATGTAATTTACCCTCTGAGTTTTCTCTTCTTTGTCCTAGTCAGCTCTGCTTTTGGGTCAGAAAATGTGAATCTGGTTGACACAGTAGCCAGCTCTCTTTTGGGTCCTCAGGCACCATTCGCGTGTCCTATGTGCAGGAACAGGCATTAGATAAGATGACTGCAGTGGTGATCCTGTGTACGCATCTCCTTCAAGGATGTCAAATGATGCCACATGTACTGCAGAGGTGAGAGGCAGGACAGAGAGACTGGAATGGGGCTGGGGGAAGAGGCTCTTGCCTTCTTTGGAAGTTTTTATTCATTCTTCGTAGCAGAGTGGATAAGAAGATTGTGGCCAGGGGAATCAGCTGTCCATGGTGAGATCCATGCTTAGCCTCTGTTCTCTAGGGCTCTCATCTGCAAATGGCAACGGGAGTGCCCACCTTGCAAAGCTGTTGTTGGCAGAGCTAAATGAGATAATCCACACAAAGCACTGAGGCCTAGTGAATTTCATCTGTCATTATTTTCCCAGCTTTTTATTTTGGAAAACTTGAAACCTCAAAAGTGTAGAAAGGATGGGACAGTAAACACCCATCTGTCTACGGTATTAGCATGCTTGGGCTGCCGTGAGTGAACGCCACCGCCTGAGTGGCTTCAACAACAGACATGTATTTTCTCATGGTTCTGGAGGCTGGAAGTCCTGGTCAGGGTGCTGGTGGAGTCAGTTTCTGGTGAGGCCTTTCTTCCGGGCCTGCAGAGGACATCTGCTCATGATGTTCTCACAAAGCTTTTCCTTTGTGTGTGTGTATTCCTGGTGTCTCTTCCTTTCCTTTTTTTTTTTCTTTTTTCTGACACAGGGTCCCTGTTGCCCAGGCTGGAGGGCAGTGCCGTGGTCTCAGCTCACTGCAGCCTCAGCCTCTGGAGCTTAAGTGACCCTCCCACCTCAGCTTCCTGAGTAGCTGGGACTACAGGTGTGCACCACCACGCCCAGCTAATTTTTATATTTCTTTTTAGAGACAGGGTTTCGCCATGTTGCCCAGGCTGGTCTGGAACTCCTGAGCTCAAGTAATCTGCCTACCTCGGCCTCCCAAAGCATTGGGATTACAGGTGTGAGCCATGCACCCGGCCTCTTCCTCTTCTTATAAAGGACATGAGTCCCATCTGATTAGGGCCTCACTACTATAACGTCACTTAACCCAACTGCCTCCTTAAAGTGCCTGTCTCAAATACAGTCACTTTGGGAGTTTGAGGGGGGCACAATTCAGTTCATAGCACATATTTTAAAAATGGAACAAAAATGCTCTTTACCACCTCACTGTATGCATCCATGTATGAAGGCATGTGCCCTGCCTGGCGTGGAAAACTGGAATTTTGGTAGCGGACATTGAGAGTAGAATCTTTCCACCAGCCACATCCAGAACACTGTGGGTTTATGTGTGTGTGAATGTGTGTGCATGTAACAAACAGTTACAAAAAGATTCCATCAATTTTCCTTTGCCATTTCCTGTATAATAACTTTAAAGAAAATGGTAAAAGCATTAGAAAAACTGTACTTCTGTTAACTTTGCCTTGAGCAATTTCTCTTATTACTAGACTATATAGGATCATAACAAGTATATAAATCACAATTATGTAAAAATTAAAAAATTATACCCCCAAACAATTGCGTAGGAAAAATCAGGAAATTCACTAGAACTCTGTGGCAAGCACATGGCAGTATTTTTTCTTATTATTTTCTACATTTTTCAGACTTTGCATTGGCCACATATTATTTTTAAAATTGAAAAATGCATAGCATTAAAACTGTGTAGAATTGAGCAACATAGTCCAAATACAGCATGTAATAAGCCAGTCTATAATAACTAGATCATTATCTGTAGCGAGTCCAGAAATCAGAGCCAGGTTCCCCCAAGTTCTCTGCATGTTTCAGTTTTCCCCCCACATCACTCAGACAAGTGTGTTCAAGTTAAGACATATATGGGTATGAAGGTGATTCGGCTCTCAGAAGTTCCACATAGGTTAGGTGCAGAAATTCCACAGCCAAATATAAATGATTTGGGGGTTATGCCTGTGACTGTCCCATCTGTTAAATGTGAAGAATCAAGTTAACTGTTAGCAGGAATCGCTCTTTATTTCAAAGCCTGGCGTTACCAACTTGTGCTTTTTCCAGAACACCTAAGGATTTCCAGGAGTGCTGGGGACCTGCCTATAATATTCTCAGGACTGGTTCAAATCCCCTATGATGATTCATTCTTATTAACAACTTTCTGGTGGCTCACGCCTGTAATCCCAGCACTTTGAGAGGCTGAGGGGGAAGGAGTGCTTGAGTTTGAGACCAGCCTGGGCAACATAGCGAGACCCCATCTCTACAGAAAATTAAAAAATTAGCTGGGTGTGGTGACGAAAACCTGTGGTCCCAGCTACCCCGGAGGCTGAGGTGGGAGGAGCGCCTGAGCGTAGGAGGTGGAGGCTGCAGTGAGCGGTCAGTGTGCTGCTGTACTTCAGCCTGGGTGACAGAGCAAGACCCTGTCTTACAAACAAACAAACAAACAAATGAAACCTTTTTGGGTTACCTGCATTTTAGACTATTACAAATGAGCTGCCACATTTCTGTCTTCACTGCTGACCAGCGTGGAAAACCCACACTGAGCGTCTGAGATGCCCTGCCCTGGCTTTTGGAGAAAAGAAGGGCATGCATTACGGGAGGGGTGCGGACTCGGGGGCTCTCGCAGAGAGGAATGAGCTGCATGAGGATGGTGTGTCTGTGGTTGGGGCACTTGGTGGCCTTTTGTGGGGGGGGGGTGACCTGCCTGCAGTGTGGCTCTGTCCTTGCCATTCCTGAGAACCAATGAAACATTAAATGTTTTCATCATTGGCAGCACTGGTCTTGGAGGCTTCTGCACCGCTTCTGAGAGTTCTGCCAGCCTGAATCCATGCCTTGTGTCCCCAGAGGTGACTGAGCCAAGGAAGGACCCACAGGGAGCCAGGGGACCAGAAGGTTCTTTGCTGCCCGGCTCGCCACCACCCCAGGAGCGAGAGCACCCCTCGTCCTCCATGCCCTTTGCCGAGTGTCCCCCGGAAGCTTGCTTGGCAAGTCCAGCAGCGGCACCTGAAGATGGTCTTCACACTCAGTCCCCCTGGAGGGAACCTGCCCCAAATGCCCCAGGGGACATCAAGGCATTTCCCGAGAGGGACAGCTCTACTCCACACCAAGAGGTTCCCATCATCCCCAGTGCTGGAAGAGAGAGCGAGCCAAAGGAAGAGGGACAGAAGCCCTCCTCCTCCTTCTCCAGTTGCATTGACCAGTCACCTGGAATGTCACCAGTACCTCTCAGAGAGCCAACGAAAGCACCCCCGTGTGGAGAGGGGGATCAGCCTGGTGATTTAGAGTTCCAAGGGAAAGAGGTTGCAGGTGGCTTTCCCCTCACAGAGTCCAGGCAGGGGGTGGCTTCTGTGAAAGTGACCCCTGATGTCACTGCCATAGCTGAGCTGGGCACAGAGAGCTCAGCTGTCTTAGAGAAGTCCCGCCTAAGACCAGAGGCCCTGATCCCACCAGATCCAGCGCTGAAAGCCTCAGACAGAGAAAAATGCCAAGTGGAGGTGCCGCCTCAGTATTTAACAGATGACTTGGAATTCCTCAGGGCCTGCCCTTGCCCTAGGAGCAATGCAGGGGCTGCCCCAGAAGCAGAAGTGAATGCCGCTTCCCAGGAGAGCTGCCATCAGCCAGTGGGAGCATATCTGCCACACACAGAGCTGCCCCAGGGCTCACCGAGTCCTGCCCTGGTGCCAGGGGATGGGGGCTCTGGGAAGGAGGCTCTGGACACCAGTGATGTTCAGGGTCACCCACAGACAGGGATGCAAGGAACCGAGCCCAGTCAAATTGTCTGTGTGGCGGCAGGCGGCCAGCCTGAAGGGAGCTTGCTTGTGAGCCTGGAGCCCTCCCTGCTCACTCCGACCAAGGAAGCACATCCAGCTTCAAGACTCGCTTCACTCCCAGCTGCTCAGATTTCTACTGCCATAGAAGGACCTGGATCATTGTCCAGGGAATCAGTTTCCAAGGCTGGGATGCCAGTTTCTGCAGATGCAGCCAAAGAAGAGGTGGCGGATGCAGGGTTGCTGGGACTGGAGAGGCAAGCATCAGACCTTGGAAGCAAGGGAGAGCATCCAGAAGGGAGCTCTGAAGAGTTTCCTGCCCCATCATCCCAGGAGGGGGGAGAGCACTTGAACAGGGAGCAAAGCCATATGGTCCAACAAGAAGTAGCACCCCCTCCTCTTCCCAATGCACGAAGTGACAGTGGCAGAGGGTCACTGGGGCCATCGGATGGAGCCGAGGCCCATGAAGATGCCACAAGCCCGGCTGTGGTGAAAGAAGGAAGCAGATCCCCCTGTGACAGCCCTAGAGGAAAGGAAGAAGCCCCAGAGCTGCCTGACAGTGCAGACCCAGGGAACCTGCGAGGAGAGGACTCTTGGGCTTCCAGCAGCATGCATGATCAGGAAGTAGGCAAAGATGAGCTTTCAAAGCCAAGCAGTGATGCAGAGAGCAGAGACCATCCCAGCTCACACTCAGCACAGCCACCCAGAAAGGGGGGTGCCAGGCACACAGACGGGCCTCACTCTCAGACATCAGAGGCCGATGCATCTGGCCCACCACACAAGCTGGGTGAGGAGGACCCCATCCTGCCCCCTGTGCCAGATGGAGCTGGTGAGCCCACTGTTCCCGAAGGAGCCATCTGGGAGGGCTCAGGATTGCAGCCCAAATGTCCTGACACCCTTCAGAGTGGGGAAGGACCGGGTGGAATGGAGCCTCTCCTGACTTCAGAATCAGATAAATCAGAGTTTCTGCCAACTCCTGTTGTGGAGGCTGGACCCAAAGCCCTGGAAGGGGAGAACACATTGGAAATAAGGAAGATGGGCAGCTGTGATGGGGCGGGCTCGCTGACATCCCCAGGTCAACCCAGTGGGCCGGGGTGTGATGCACTGAGACAGGAATTTCATGCTGGGGTGCCACATCCCCCCAAGGGGGAGAACTTGGCAGCAGACCTGGGGCTTGCGGCGCTCAGCCTGGACCAAGATCAGCAGGAAATCCCGTCCTGCCCGGGGGAAGGCTGGATAAGAGAAGCTGCCTCCGAATGGCCCCCACTATCTTCTGAGCGGCATCTCCAGGCATCCCAGGCAGACCCAGAGGCATCCACCTTTGATGTGCTCAAGGAGCAGGCCCAGCCACCTGAAAATGGGAAAGAGACTTATCCAAGCCATCCAGGTTTTAAGGACCAGGGAGCAGATTCTTCCCAAATCCACGAACCTGTGGAACCTCAGGAAGGTATGAACTTGCCCACTCATGGAGGACAGGAGCAGGCTTTGGGATCAGAACTTCAAAGTGAGTTCTCCAAAGGCAGCCTGTCTGATGCTCCCAGTTCATCTCCCACTGACATGGTTTGGGAGAGTTCTCCCATAGAAAAGTTAGAATTGTCAGCACCAACGAGACAGAAGTTGCCTGCACTGGGGGAGAAGCAGCCAGAAGGAGCACGCGGTGACGGTCAGTCCTTGAGGGTCTCGCCTCCAGTGGCAGATGTCTTAAAAGACTTTCCTCTTGCAGGGAACTTGAGCAGAAAGGAAACTTGCTGTACTGGGCAGGGGCCAAACACGTCTCAACAGGCATTGGCTGGTGCCTTGGAAGAAGGCAGCCAGCGTGAAGAAGCATGTCAAAGGGATGCAGGAGCTTCTGAAGCAGCTGATGGTTGTTCCTCACTCTGGGGCTTGAGTAAGAGGGAGGTGGCAAGTAGAAACACAGTGGAGGCCCCACCTTGTCAGCCTGACTCAGTAGCACTCCTGGATGCAGCTCCCTGCCCACCAGCCCTGGCGCCTGCCAGCCCCAGAGTCACACCCACCCAGGAGGCCCCAGAGACAGAGGCATGTGATGAAACCCAGGAAGGCAGGCAGCAACCAGTGCCAGCCCCACAGCAGAAAATGGAGTGCCCGGCCACTTCGGATGAAGAGGCCCCAAAGCTTCTTGCAAGTTTCCCATCAGCTGGGGAGCAAGGTGGTGAAGCGGGGGCTGCTGAGACTGGTGGGAGTGCTGATGCAGGAGACCCAGGAAAGCAGCGGGCTCCAGAGGAACTGGGAGAAGCTACTTTAAGTGGTGGCTTCTTTCAGACAGAGCACTGCCTTACCTCCAGGGAGGAAGCTTCTACATCTGCCCTGCATGTGCCCTGTCAAGCTGAGCAGCCCACGGCCAGCTGCCAGGATGCCTGGCTGCCAGCCAGAGAGCAGGGTGGGATTCCCAGGAGCACCATGGATATCTCTGCCCACCAGGCTGTCCCAGACCCAAAGGAGCTCCAGCTGTCTGGGCCACCAGAAGTGGCTGCTCCTGACACCTCTTACCTGCATGTCAACAGTGCTATCCGGAAAGGAGCAGAAGACAGCGGAGTGAAAGCCATTTCCTCCGCAGGCCCCAGAGCTCCTGGCGAAAGCCCCCGTCCTGTCAGGGAGCCCCTGCTTGCCTTGGAAAATGCTTCCTCCGTGAAGCTGTCTGCTGGCTCCCTCACCTCCGTCTTGCAACCAGGACCTACAGGTGGAGAAATCTCTGCAGTGCAAGCCAACAGCAGCAGCCCCAAAGCCAGAACCACAGAGGGACCTGTGGACTCCATGCCATGCCTGGACAGGATGCCACTTCCGGCCAAGGGCCAGCAGGCAACAGGGGAGGAGAAAGCAGCAACGGCTTTGGGTGCAGGTGCCAAGGCCAGCGAGGAGGGCATGGCAGCAGGAGAGACAGAGGGCAGCATGGAGAGGATGGGAGTGCCTCCCCAGGACCCAAGGCAGGGCACATCAGGTGGTGTGGACACAAACTCTGAGCAAATCGCCACCCTTGCCGGCTTCCCAGACTTTAGGGAACACATCGCCAAGATCTTTGAGAAGCCTGTGCTCGGAGCCCTGACTGCACCTGGAGAAAAGGCAGCAGCTGGGAGGAGTGCAGCAGGCAAGGACCTCACCAGGCCACTGGGCCCAGAACAGCTTGTAGATGAGCCTCCAGGAGTGGACATCACCCCTCTCCCTGCACCTCCTGCTCCACTCCAGGCGGAGAAGAAGCAAGAGTTGGCTGGAGAGGCTGAGATTTCCCGTCTGGCTCTGCAGGATCCAGCTTCAGACAAGCTTCTGGGTCCAGTAGGGCCGATCTGGGAGCAGAACTTGCCAGGTGCCAGTGTGGGGAAGGAGATGGCAGGTATCTCACCCACACTGAGGGAAGATGAGAGGCCAGAGGGGCCAGGGGCAGCCTGGCCAGGCCTGGAAGGCCAGGCTCACTCACAGCAGGAGATAAGCGGGCAGGAATTAGCTTCAGGTCTTCCTTCACCAGCAGCTACTCGGGAGCTCCCTGTGGAGAGAGCCGCTGCCTTCCAGGTGGCCCCTCATAGCCATGGAGAAGAGGCTGTGGCTGAAGACAAAAATCCTTCTGGAAAGCAGCACCAGGAAACATCCGCCTGCGACAGTCCACATGGAGAAGACGGTCCTGGGAACTTTGCTCACACAGGGGTTCCAGGGTCCACCTGTGCCCTGCAAGCCCCTTCTCCCCAGAGGGAGGCTTTGAATATGCCTGAGGCCAATGGTGAGCCCTGGACCCCTGGCATGCTTCGGGGTGAGAGGAGGCCTGGAGTCACTGCTGGCATCTTAGAAATGGAAAATGCCCCCGGCAACCAGAGCACCCCTGCACCACCAGCTGAAGAAATGGCAGACACTCCCCTGGAGCCCTGCAAGATGGCAGGTGCTGCTGGAGAAGCAGAGGGTGACATCACCCTGAGCACAGCTGAGACACGGGCATGTGTGTCCGGTGACCTGCCTGAAGCAGGTACTACGAGGGCGTTCTCCATCGCAGCTGGCGACTTGGCACTGCCAGGAAGCTGTCAGGACGCAGCCTGCTCTGACAAGACCCAGGGGATGGAGGGTACAGCTGCCCTTCATGGGGACAGCCCAGCCAGGCCCCAGAAGGCTAAGGAGCAGCCAGGGCCTGAGTGCCCCATTCCTGCCGGGGATGGGAAGGTGTGTGTCTCCTCACTTCCAGAACCTGACGAAACTCACAACCCGAAGCTGCAACATTTGGCTTCAGAACCGCTCCACGCTGACAGGTACTTAAATGAAAAAATTCCCACAGGAATGTTTGCTCAGTTTCAAAGGTGATTCCCAGCCTGATTTTTAAAAGTCAGTGGCATAGACGAGTCGTTTTCCATATCTAATTGCTAAATGAGCCTGCTACCCCTTCTGGGTGTCCTGAGGCTCTGAAGAATGTGAGAACTATGGGGGCTGGAAGCTGTTGACTGTCTTGTTTCTTTTCTTGTGTCCCTTAATTTATCTAATTTAAGCCACTGGAAAAGTATGAACTGTTTACTGGCTGACTGTGCACTATTGCCTGATAGGCTATAGTCAGTCATAAATTTTTCTGGAGTCCAGATACATCTGCTTTTGATTCTGGATTTATTTAGGCAGGGGGCCCCAAATGATTCAAAAGTATCTCAGACCCATTGATTCCTAAAGCTCTTTTTCCTCCCCTAGGGATTATTTTTTTTTTTTGTAGTAGCCACTGAAAGCTTTAATTGGGAAATCTGCTTTTTCAGTAGGGCCCAGGGAGTGATGCCCTACTGTCTCCCTTATCCTATCCATCGCTTTCTTTCATTATCCCAGAGAGAGCCCCAGGGATGGCCCATCCATCTTACCTTCGGTTCCTAAGAAGGACGCCCCAAAAGTCGTGGATAAAGTCACTTCAGATGAGGCCAGAGGTGCAGAAGGAACAAAAAGGTCAGTGAAGGATATCGGTTTTTGGAAGGCCATGATGCCTTACTTAGACACAGACACACTGGATGTTTTGTAAAGGAAAGTAGTCCGTATACAGCATGTGTTCTTATATAAGAAAGAAGCAAATGGCCATTCCCATTTGCATCTGGGATAACTAAAAGCTCCGTTGTTGGAAGGGGATTGAATGAGTTGCTTTCATAATTGACTTTATTACCTTAAATAAAAAAGGCTGGGTTCAGTGGCTCACGCCTGTAATCCCAGTACTTTGGGAGGCTGAGGCAGGAAGATCACTTGAGCCCAGGAGTTTGAGACCATCGCTGGGCAACATGGTGAAACCCCATCTCTACAAAAAATACAAAAATTAGTTGGGCACAGTGGCACGTGCCTGTAGTCCCAGTTACTTGGGAGGCTGAGGTGGGAGGATCGTTCTCTTGAGCCCAGAAGGTAAAGGTTTGCAGTGACCATGTTCGTGACACTGCACTCCACCCTGGGTGACAGAATGAGACCCTGTCAAAAAAAGAAAAGAATCTTTATTGAGATGCAATTCACATACCGTATAATTCAGTCATTTAGAGTGTACAGTTCAATGGCTTATAGTATATTCACAGTGTATAATCATGTCTACAGTCAATTTCAGATTATTGTCATCCTCACAGAGAGAAATCCTACAGCCCCTAGATATCATACCCCAGCCCCACTCCCCCTGCATCATCTCTAGGCACCCACTCATCTAGTTCAGGACGTCTTATGCAAATGGGTTCAGTGCTTATTTAGTCTCTGAAGCAGGAATGGCTCACCAACGGCAGTTACACTCCAGGAGATCTTGAGATTCAAGGAGGACAAATGGCAAATGTCACCGTGAACCACTGACCTTCACACTTGGCAGTGTGCCTGCCTGTTCTTTTCTAAATGAAACGCCACCTAGTGTTGTGCAGAAGCTGCTGCTCGAAGTCGCATCCTTTTGGGGACATGGAGATATTGTGCGCACACACACAGACTCACTGTGTACAAGCTTTGCCGCCTCCCTAGGCCTTTGGCTGTTCTGGTGCTGTGTGCACACACAACACACACACATGCGTACACACTTGTGTGTATGAGTAGGGTGGAATTGGACTTTAAATTAGTACCTGTGTACCCTACCAAACAGCTGCAGGCATTTTATAAATGATCTGATTCATATTTTACACATTCGAAAAGAATGCACGATCACCTGTTTTTTCAGTCTGAACACTTCCACTGACACCCAGCTGCCTCTGCTGCCCAGCAGTAGTGACTCCCATCGCCCTGGGCCAGTGTGGATGTGGGCGTGTGCTGCGCAAACAGATGCAAGTTGACACCCGTTTCAGCCACTGACTGAGAGTACAATTTCCTGCAGCCTTTGCTCTTATGTATTTGTTATATGCCCAGTTAAGGGGTAGGAGAAATATCTGTCTAGCATGGAAGAGCCTTCCCCACCCCACAAACGACCAGATCAGTGGCTTCTTTTTCAGAGTCCTTAGACATCTTATCACCTTCTTGGAGCATGCAGAGCCAGACGTATAATAGTGCAGTAAATATTTCATGACTTGTTGTAATTACTTTAAATTTAAAATTATAATTTCTAAATTAGTATTATAAATTATCATTTTTCCAGAATACTTGTGAGGTGTAGAAAAGTAGATAGAGAAAAAGCCACAACCACAATACCTACCAATTATGCTTATTTCGTATTTTGTATATTTTCATTTTAGTGGATTTTGAGTGCCATCAAAACGCTCTTTAGTGTTTTCAGTGTTATCAAAAATCTTTAAAAACAAATCTTTTAAAAAATGTTTCTTCATTCATTTGTTTATTTTGAGACAGGATCTCACTCTGTCACCCAGGCTGAGTGCAGTGGCATGATCTCTGCTCATTGCAGCCTCGACCTCCCCAGGCTTAGGTGATCTTCCCACTTCAGCCTCCCTAGTAGCTGGGACTACAAGTGTGTGCCACTATGCCGAGCTTATTTTTTGTTTTTGTTTTTGTTTTTTTTTGTAGAGATGGGATTTCACCCTGGTACCCAGTCTAGTCTTGAACTCTGGTCTCAAGCAATCTTCCCGCCTCTGTTTCCCAAAGTGCTGGGATTACAGGCATGAGCCACCATACCCAGCCTACAAACAGATTTTAACGGCTGAAGTTGTATGACTGATTGCGGTTTTAACAGCAGCGGAACTTTAGGTTCTGATGGTGTTCCTATTCACTTTGTTCCTGCTGAGACTTTTGTACTTTCTATGGCTGCTGGGTCCAGTAATGCAGCCCCTGGCTATGTGTGGATGGAGATGTGCTATAAATGTAAAATACACACCCAATGTTGAAAATTTAGTGGCTGGGCACGGTGGCTCACGCCTGTAACCCCAGCACTTTGGGAGGCCAAGGCAGACAGATCATGAGGTTTAGAGATTGAGACAATCCTGGCCAACATGGTGAAACCCTGTCTTTACTAAAAATACAAAAATTAGTTGGGCATAGTGGTGTGCGCCTATAGTCTCAGCTACTCGGGAGGCTGAGGCAGGAGAATCACTTGAAGCCGGGAGGTGGAGGTTGCAGTGAGCTGAGATTGCACCATTACACTCCAGCCTGATGACAGAGCGAGACTCTGTCTCAAAAGAAAAAAAAAAAAAAAGAAAATATATCACGAGTCATTTTGCATATAATCAGTATTATATGCAAAATGATAATATTTCGGATCTATTGGGTTAAAATGTATTACTAAAATTAATTTCATTTATTTCTTTTTTCTGTTTTTAATGTGGCTCCCAAAATTTACAAAATGACATATGTGTTTGAATGCCTGGCTCACATTCTACTTGGATCATTTGCCTCCAGAAGCTGCTTTTCCCTGGTCTTTGAAGGAAATGGGGTCATAAAGAGTTGGCCTTCCCTGTGCTTTGGGCTCTTGGGGAGAAGGCTTCCTAACATTGGTTGAGGGTTTCCGGAAGAAATTTGGATTGGACTTTCTCACCCAGCCTGCCAGGTTGAGAATGCTTCTTTCTCTTGCTGGAGAGGCTCTGAACTGCTCATGAACCCATTCACCATGAGGAAGCCGTACACGTGGACTTGGGTAGGTCCCGGAGGAAGTCCTGCCAGGCCAGGGGCCGCACTTCCCGGGAGGGGCAGGTGTTGCCTTTGAAGGTGGAAGTCAGCAGCGGCCTCGGGGAGGCTGGGTGGTCAGACTTCGGTGGACACTGCCAGGAGCTGTGGTGAGGATGAAGTTCAGGAACAGGTTTCTGAATTCACACCCCAGCTCTGCTCCTTACTAATTACATATATAACCTCAGTTTGTTCATCTGTAGAATGGGGATGACAACAATTGTACCTGCCTTAAAGAATTGCCTTGAGGGTTAAATGAGACCCCTGATTCAGGTGCCAGAACATGCTTGTTCTGATACCCAGCAGGCGTTAGATTCCCTATTTTGTGATGGGTATTTCTGGTATGGTGACCTGCATGATTCTGTCTCTCTTCAGTGTAGAGATGGTTTTGGGATCTCAGTCTGTTCTCCTGAGGTTGAAACTCCAACCTGGCTGTCTTTCTTTTCCAGCATGGAATTCTTTCTCTGCTAAAATATTTCAATGGCTGAGGAGAGTGAATTCTTTCATACCCGCTACTGCACAGCCCTGAGTGATCTGCTACAAGTTAAATATTTTGAGATTGTGTTTCACTGCAACACTTTGAGTATCTTTGTGTAGCCTATTTTATTGTATTTCACCATCAAAATACTGTTTCAAATTACCTCTAGAAGAGCAAAGCAAAGCAAAACCAAGTTTTCTATTCTCTTGGCAGTTATCAGGTGACACGCTTCTTCTGTAGATTGAAATTTGAAGATTCTGCTGATTTGAATAGGGCTGTTACCACGTATCAGATTCAATATCTAAGAAACGTGTCTTTTTCTAATTTGGTAACAGGATAGTTTTTTTTGTTTGTTTTTTTTCTTTTTTCTTTTTTTTGAGACAGAGTCTTGCTCTGTCACCAGGCTGGAGTGGCGTGGTGCAGTCTCAGCTCATTGCAACCTCCACCTCCTGGGTTCAAGCGATTCTCCTGCCTCTGCCTCCTAAGTAGCTGGGACTACAGGTGCACACCACCACACCCAGGTAATATTTTTATTTTTAGTAGAGGCGGGGCTTCACCATGTTGGCCAGGATGGCTTTGATCTCTTTGACCACGTGATCTGCCTGCCTCAGCCTCCCAAAGCGCTGGGATTACAGGTGTGAGCCACTGCACTTGGCCAACAGGCTAGTTTGATAACCCAGTCTCATGCACATGTACATGACGGTAGCATAAATATGTTTACTGCTTTGTTCTCCATCCTATAAGGTCAAATTGACACTGCTTGTGGATACAGCATGGATATCCCGTGGCTTTGCCTACTTCCAGCCACACCGCACACCCATGGGGGGTCTGTGAGCCCTCACTCAGAGATGCAGGCACTCACAATGTATAGAAATGTATAGAATGAAATGTACAGAGACTGACTGTACATTTATGTACATTGTGTGATGCTCCCTGTGGAAAAGCCTGGGACTCGGAGACAGCCTCATGTTAGTTTCAGGTTGTTCTGCAGAAGGTGCTTGAATCAATTTCGACTATCTTCCTGTTCCTGGAAAGTCTAGAATTTGGCGTTTTGGTTACATAGCACTAATGTTCAGACACGTAGTTCTGTATTGATGTTGGATATCACCAAGCTTGTTGTTGTTGAATATGTGTTTAAAGGGAGTCGTTCTCTCTTTCTGTCTCTCCTTTATTCTTTCTCGATTTAGGGAAATGGTTGGAAAGGTATTTTCAAGTATTAGTGCATTTTAAGAGAATTAAATTGTTCCCAGATGCTTAGGGTCTTTGTGTAAACCTAGGCTGAATGGGGAAGGGAAGTTGAATTAAAAAGTGGAGGGAGGACAGCTGGCCTCCGGTCAAGGCAGGCCTGGCTGGCCTGAAAGCCTCGCTGGAGCCGCTTGTCTCTCTTCCCCCCACGCCTCCTTCTCACTTGGTCTCT